CAGTACACCATAGATACGTACATACACACACTGCCATACGTGGCACGCGGCGACAACAAACATGAAACAGGCAATTTACCAGGCCATCAACGTTGATGGTGCCGACAATGATGTTGTTGATGACAGCCTGCCCAACAAGAATACCCGTCCTATAAGTAGAGCAACAGCTACAACAACAACAACAACAAAAGCTTGGCTAAACAAAACTCAAAGGCTTAAAAATACAGTTAACAAGGCAATTTCATAGCTGTGAGCATATTAACAAATTTCAATCGAAAGTCAATGCATAGAAAATTAAATTGTGTGTAGGCTGACTAGAAGTATGTTGAAATTGTTGTGAAGCGTTGCCAATGTGCTTTCAATAAATGAAATTATGCTTGGCTAAAAAAAAAGATCAATTTAACTTCATGGCAACAATAAGCTCCATAAAAATCAAGCTAAGATAGGCATTTATCGAAGGGTTCGCTTTAATAGGAAAGAGTTTCTTATATATAAATATCTTGGAACCCTTAAATCTTTTGAAAATAAAATATAATATATAGTATAATATGCTCTGGAACATTTAAAAATATCAATCAATTTCTGATGAATGAATGATATTATATTTGGCAATATTAATGATAACTTAATCTACGAAAACGAAAAGCTTAACTTAATTCATGAACTACCTGAAACGCCTTCCAAATATTATTAGCCAGCTCAGCTAGCTTTGAGTAAAGAGATTTAAATATGTAAGCCGTATAAATATCTTGGTATCTATATAGCCTTAATTTTGAGTCATGTGCAAAAAATATCAAAATAACAATATCAAAGTTCACAATTGCCTTGACGGACGCTGTGAATCACTGTCTCAGATGAATAAATAAAACAATAAATAAAAGCTACTCAAACTTATGCAGGAACCAGCGAACAACATATGTAAATTCTAAAGAGAGGTCAGCAATTATAAACAATAAACAAGGTCATTGATTTCTTTTTATTTCGTACAACTGAATCACCTACTTCAACTGTTTGACAACTCACAAATTCTGCTGAACTGTCAAAGCATTTTAAATTGATATATACTATATCAATAATAATATATATTATTATGCATCCCTATAAGCGTACAATGTCAATGCAGCAATCAGCATTTAATGAAATCATTAAATCTTTTATTATTTTTCTGCCTTTGTCTGCTTTGTGACTTATACATTAATAAAGATTTTTCCCTTAAGACAATTCAGTTTTGCTGTTTATCTATATAACATGCAAAAAGCAGAAAGCGCCTTTTCTGATTATTTGTTACCATGGCGAAACACACGGCGTATGCGTGATGAATTGCATCTGCTGCGACGGCAGTCTCAAAGAAAATGATGCGCATTCAAGGCGAGGACAAAAGTCACGTGCTTTCGCCGGAGCTTTTCTTAAGTGGCGTAATGCGCACGTAGAGGCCTCTCTACGGCGTAAAAGGAATGCCTGATGCAAAACTAAAAGTTAAGCTCATTGAGTGTTGAAGTGCGAATTATCTTTGCGGCATGCACACACATGCACAAAATTTCTAACTGAATGTTGCACAAAATTGTTGCTGGTGCTAGCTTAATTGGTTAGCTACAAAGTGTTTTCACTCAATTGAGCTGGCTCTTAATAAGCTTTCAGCACATTGTGGATCTCGATCTGAATGTGGATGTGGATCTGCACCTGTATCTGCCTCTGGACTTAAGCAGCATTGTGGCCACGTCTGCCACAAAGTAGCCTAACATAGTTTGGCAATGCTCGATTTGTTTTCACTTAGTTTCATAAAAAATGTTGACGGCTCTCGAAATTAACAAATACTATTTATGGCGCATTTGATGACTTTCATGGCTTTTGACTTGTCTGGTTTCGTTTTTTGCTGAGCTTCTACAATTTGTTAAATGTCATAATTGTTGCTTACTTTCAGATTGCTTATAATTTGTACCATAAGGCATATATATTCTTGATCAGCATCAGTAGCCAAGTCAATATAGCCATATCTGTCTGTCTGTGTGTTTCTATGTGGATCCGTCCGCCAATCCTGATGTGTACTTAGGAAACGTAATGTATATCTATTAGATGTCATAGTAACAATCGGTCAAAGTAGAGTATTTGTATGAAAAACTTTTTTATCTAAGAAGAATCAGTCATCTTTTTGTATTTATAGTAATATTTAGTGTCAAAAACTTGACTCTATCTCACAGAGATATCTATTCTTATATATGCCTCAGCCACCCATTCTTTTTTGTTAACTATTATTATAGGGCATCTTTAAGTCAAAATATATAAAGCAGTTTCCGTAGCTGGTTGCTGTGCAGCTGCTGCAAGTCTCAGCTGGCTTGTGGCAGCCACAAAAGGCAGGAAATTGAATGAAATTGCCATGTTATTATTATAGAAAGGAAGCGTGCAGCAGCCAGTCAAAGGAGCTTCATCAAAGGTGGGGAGGGGATAACTGGAAGGTGGGAGGTGGGGGGGATTGCCTACAAAAGCAATGCGAAATGAAAAATGAAAAGTTTTCCATTTGAGCTTTGTGACTATAGAAACCTGGGCATTGAGGTTCAGCTCTTTGAGCCACATTAACCAACTGTGCTCTGCTTAACTACCAACTGATAATGAGCTAGTTGACAGTTGCCCGTTGACTTCCTCTGGCAAAGAGCATAATTTGCTGCACTCAGAAAAAAATCGCACTACATTTTACAAAATCATAACACAATGAAAATCGCCCTGAACACCAGAAAGTTTTTCTTGCTTTTATTAATATTTTCTAAATATAAGAAAAGAAAACTTCCAAAAACTCGAAACTGAATTCTTGAAAATGGCAATAATATTAGAATTGTCCTGTCAAATATATTTGAAATAAAATATAGAAAGACTTGGCTAACCTTTTCTTTATTTTTTAGAAATACTTTCCATAATTTAAATATACAATTGTATTTTTGCTGATTTTTGAGTTACGCTTGCCGAATTTCTAAAATTCAGCTCAATATTTTTGCTGAGTTTGTCAGCACTTGGCAACCAGACATTTTAATTTTCTGTGCACTGTGTAATTATCAATATTATTATTATATATATATATTGTTGTTGATGTTGCACGCTGTTATTAACGTTCGAAATCAGCGCCCAGCAGGAGACAATATTAAATTTGTATTTTAATTTTATTAAACAAGAGCGTCCACTTTACACATCAATAACGCCGCCGACTCCAATTGCCGCAAATGAACGGCTGGAAAAGCCAGCAGCAGCAGCAACAACAGTTGCAACAACAACAGTTGTAACAACAACAACAACAATGCAACAGCAACCGAGCTTCCCCGGTGGCCTGGCGTTAAAATATTGACATGTGCTGTTGCTGCCACAAATGTTGGTGTTGTGTTCATGTTGCTGTTGCGGTGGGGGCTGTGTTGCTGGTGGGTGTGGGTAGTAGTGGGTGGTGCTCGATGGTCAGCGTATCATATGACAAGCATTGTTGGTAGCCGTCGCGTAAATAAAGCGTAAAATTGTGTGCTTTTTTCACGCGTTGTTTGTTGTGTGTTGTAAAAAATATATATAAAAAATAAAAAAAAATGGAAAACACAAACAATCAAATGCATTTCACTATAGCTCCGCGCGTGTGTGTGTGAGTGTGCATGTGTTAAAATGACCTTTGGCTTGCATTGTCGCCACTGCCACAACCACTGCCCACATTGGTCTGTCCTGTAAAATAGAATTGTGGATATGCTCACAGCCAGCTAAGCTTTGTAACTGGGAGCATAACAAGACTAAATTCGCCTCGAAGACCGAGATAACTTGTTTGAAATGTTAAAGAAATCATCTAATAAGTCTTAATTTCACAGGCATATAGGTTCATCGATTTTTTTTATTCCGGGCATCACCAATATATAAGCGCAGTTAACTTTCAAGAAGTTACAAACCAGCTGACAAATGCATAGCAGGCTTGATATTTTGCTTGATATAAAAATTATATTTTGATTTGGTTTGCTTGCTGCATTAAGCATAATGCTGAAAAATTATTTCTACCATTGATTGTGTCTTTGGATACATGATCATAGGTAAGGCCTAAGGTTGAGTTGAAATTGTACTGGATCACATTAAATTTATATGGCAAAGAATGCGCCAAAATGTTTCTGGGTTCTATTAAATTAAGAGGTTGGGCTTTGAAGGGTGCAGCATAGAAATTATAGCAATGACCTTATTAATGACCTCAATAAGATGGCTGGGTAAATTATATATTAATAAAGAAGCTTATATCTTTACAATTATGTTATTTATTTATGTTTATTTTTATCGGTAATAGATTTACATCGGTATTCTCTCTAGCTCTTATAGTTTCTGTCAACTCGACTTTTATGCTAATTAAGAATATCATAAGTTTGTGGTCGCAGATGCTTTCTTCTGCCCTATTATATTTTTGTACAACTTCTTACCGCTTTCTTCCCATTTTTAATGGGCTCAAAATGTATGTAAAGGGTATCTTATGGTCGAGCAATAGTTTCTACTTTACTACCAGCTTCATCTTCAGCATTGCTGCTGTTCTTGCATTTTGTTTGGCTTTTATTTTGCTGCAGCCTCAAGCTGTTGTGTTAATTGCATATTTAAATTTATGTTGTTAATTGTTGGCAATTCGCGGGAATGCATTGCCTGCCGCCTTTTAAATAATGACTTTAACGCAGCTGTTTTAAGTACCTTGCACCCACTTCACCCATCTCCCCCCACCACTTCTGGGTTATTCTGCTGCCATCAGCAAGTTGAGTTGCATCAACTGGTGGACATCAATTTAATCAAACTCTTCAGCACATCCCGTTGAGTGGCACTGAAATGTGAGCTGGGTCTCTGAGAAGCCCTTGGCTCGGACTGCGCTGTCGATATTAATTGGATACCTTACAGTTGAGTAAGGGCATATTAATTACGTCAATGCACTAAGAAAAATCTACTCAAATTTTACATATTTTTTTCTTTTCGAGTGCATTTCATATTTCGCAAAGAATTTAAATAATTTGATTTTGGAATTTAGTCTGCTGCTGTTTGACTTTATTACGAATTACAAACAAGTTACAATATATAGATAAAAATGCAATATGTTGAAGGGTTGATGGGTTAAAGCTCGAAATCCTGAGCAAACAGGAATAATGCCAACTGGTCAACAAACTAGAACAGACAATAACTGAATACACACACACACACACACACACATACACACGAGAATGGAAAAATGTAAAAATGGAAAAATTTTGAAAACTATTTGTATATAAATGCCAACTTGCGATGAGCCTCACCGATGTGGGGCTGCTCCAGTTTGCTAGCCTCCGGCTCCCAGTTGAGCAGCTCATCGATGCCATAACGTTTAATCGACTTGCTCGACGGCAACGGTTCCTCGCAGATCGATGAAAAGTTGGAGGAGCAGTCGGATGAGGATGAGGAGTTGCAGTTTGAGTTGGAATTGGAGTTCGGTGTGGGCAGCAATCCACAATTGGCAAAGGCACGCGAAATATTCCTCGCATGTATCAAATTACCACGACGACATTCACCTTGACCCACCGCCAGTGGTGCCGGTGGCCAATAGCGTGGCACAAACAGCTCCTTGGCGGCGGTGCCACCATCACACTTGGCCAACTTACGAGTTTCCATTGGCATTATATTGCTCTGACTGGACACGGACATGGCACGCGGCATCTGAGACAATTCCTCCAGTTTGCCGGCAGATTTGCCAGACACGGTGTTCTCCTTGTTGGCTACGTTGGTAGCGGCTTCATTGGCCTTGGCTCGACAACGTTCATCCCACTGCTTGGCCGTGGGTATATAACGCTTGGGTGGTGCTGGCTTCGGATTGGACTTGGAATCCAACAGCTGCTGGGGTTGCTGAGACGCCAGCTGTTGCTCGGGTTGATCTGATTGCAGCTCCGATTGCTGCTCCTTCTCCGGCTTATCCAGCTGTTGTTGCTGCTGCTCCGACTGCGTCTGCTGCTGCTCCGACTGCGTCTGGTGCTCAATTTGAGTCTCTGGTTTGCTCGCTCGCTGCAAGCATACGTAGCGACTATTTGGGTTCATGCGGATCTGCTCCAACTTAAACTGTTGCTCCTCCAACTTGGACTGCTGTTGCTGCTGTGGTTGCTGTTGCTTATGCTGCTGTTGCTGCTCCGACTGATGCCGCTGCTCCTCCAACTTAGACTGCTGTTGTTGCTGCTTCTGCTGTTTCTGCTGCTTAGACTGCTGCTGCTGCTGGTGTTGCTTCTGCTGCTGCTGCTCCTTCTTTGCCTCCAACTCTTGACGCATCTCGCGCAGCACTCGTTCAATTTTCTCCCTTTTGATGATCCGCAACCGATTCACCCGCAACCGTTCCTCGGCTGTAAAATGTATCGGTTCCCGTATCAGATGCAACGTATCCTTGGGCTGCTGCAGTGCCTCCCGCATGCGTCGTTGCTCGACCAGTTTGAGTGCCTCCAGTGCCACTTTGCGTTCCTGTTCGCGGCGCTTCTCCTCCAATATGCCAACTTTTACAACCGCATTTTGATTATTTTGATCATTTAGAGCCTTCACCTCATTTGGTGTTGGCTCCTTGATCCACAGAGCTTCTCGTTCTTTGCTTAGTTGGTCTGCAAATTGGGTTTCGCTGTGATTAGTTTAAGATGCAACATTTGCTACCTGGCGTTTTATTATATTATAAATATTGCTGGTAACAGCCTTCAACAGGCGGTCAAAAGTATATTTCCTATTCTGTTAGATTTGTTTTCTTCATTTTTTTGTCATTCTCAAAAACTTATTTATTCTGCACTGCCGCCCAAAGAAAATTCAGGAACAAGACAAACACCTAGCATCTATCATCAGCTGTTATTACTTATTGGTATCAGAGTATTTCGCAGTCGGTTATGACCGACACAATCGTTTTTTTTTTTTTTTACTTACGCCCTTTTCCTGAACGCTGCTCATATTTGATAGGCTTGGGAAAGCCCTTCCAGGGCAGGAATAGTTTTGTCTGCTTTGCTTTACGCTTATCGAGTGCCTCAATGTTGCATGCCTCTTCGTCGTTGTTTTTGTTGTTGATTTTGATGCTCTTGGAGCGCGGCATAAATACACTTGCGTTCACATTGGGTTTGGCAACAGCCGTTTCAGTTGTAGCCAATTTGATCATGATTATGGCGATGGCAATGGAAATTCACACTTTCTCTTCAACTGTGGCAGCAATTTGTTACGAGTTGTGAAAGCCGGCTGACTGCTTAAATAATACTTATACGAGTGCCACATATACTCACAAAATTCCTTTGACAGTAAGACTCAGGGCTGCTCATTACCCATAAATATATTTATAGATTTTTTTATTTAGTGCTCTATCGATAGTTTGTATATTGTGTGATTTTTTATTTTAGAAAATGTGTAATTCTAGAAAATATTTTGAACAAACTTATTTTTGAGGTGTTCTTACTTATTGATCCTCTCTAATTAATCGAACTGTTGTTATAGGAAGAGTTCTTTATTTTTGTTTCTTATGAAAACGCAAATTTAGATAATATAAAAGCAAGTATAACGATTAAAAGTACTAGGAATGCTTGGAGAATTGTTGCATTACTATTATATTAGAAATGTATATATTAATGTATAACAAAAATATAAAAATCAAAAGCGCTAGCTTTCATTTCTGCTATGGCTTCCATAGAATGTTTAGAAACTTGACGAATTGCTGCTGCTAAGATTTTTAATTTATTTTTGTTAGTTTCTGCTTGCATCCGGCAAGCTTAAAGAAATAATTTATCAACTACGAAATTGGTCTCCATTGTGGGGCATTTTCCGTTGTTGACATTTACGAGCTTGTTTGTTTTTCTTTCTTTCTATTTTTCGACAATAAACGTGAACAGGAAAGCAGGGCAAGAGAGCAACTCGGTCAAGTGCAGTCAGCTTGAAGACCAATGGCAATGGCAACGGCAAACGGTAACGACATTCAATAAAACGTTTGCTATTATTATGGGAACACGCTCCGTAACACACATACACACACCAACACACACACACACACCCCGTCTGGAGTTGTGGCAAATGAAATGAAATGGAAGAAGCGCACAGAAATATGCAATTTCACCTCAATCACAGCTGTAAAAGCAAACAAAGCAATGGGGGCAAAATGCTGAGCTTCAATGCAATAGCTGTCTTAACCCACTTGCAACAGCTGCCCCTGCCACTGCCACTCCCCCATGGCACTCCTATTCCCGCTGCTTATCCAGCTTATCCCTGTCGTTATCGTTATGCAAGCCACATGCTATTGGCCATACTCAGTACTCACTGTTAGCCGGTTTTCGTTGTATCATTTCGTCGGAGTGTTGAAAAAAATAGTGCAATAAGTAAAACTTAATTACTTTTACTCACCCCTGCTGAAATTGAGCTATGTTTGTAAAACTAATATTTTATGTCTGCACTACTAAATTTGATCTATACAATAATATATAGATAGTTTTAAGGCCGTTGGGAGTATTAGATTAATTGATTAAATACATTAATCAACACTTTAAAGCCGTTCTTTATGCATCTCTAATTGGGTGTTTCTTATCCGATCTAAGCGCAAAGCAAAAAGAGTGCTGCTTATCAATAATATGGTTGTACATATCATATATCAAAGAATCATATGGCTTTAAAAATGTGGATTTTATTGCTATAGAAAATTTAGTTGTATCCACTTTCGCGAGACGGATGAAGTAATGAATAATATGAAATCAACTTGATCTACCTTTGGAATAGAAGAGCATATTTAAAGTCTCTAATTCTGATATTATCTGAAATGGACGTCTTCATACAGACATGCCTAAATCAACTCAACTGCTGATCTTGATCAATAATATATATTCTCTAGAGGTTTCTCCTGCCTGTAATATAGTCGTTAACCAAACCATTATTCCCTTTTGCCCATTTTGTAATTGGTTTAGGGAGTAATTATTAGTTGAGTGCATTCAACTTTTATGTGGGTCATGCTGATGTCCAATCAAATGGACACTAACTGTCAGAGGCTTGCAGTCATTTTATAGATGATTAAAGTGGCTTTGAGCCGGCAAGTTTTGCAAAATAATCCGCTTGTTCAACTTTCATTACATTTGCGCTTATCCGCATAATTGAAATGAATGATTAACGCAATTTGTATAGAGCGAAACATGAGTGTAAAACCAAATGCAAATGTGCAGTGACATATGAAAAACACATCATTAATTTATAAATAACTAAATTAAACAATTAATTGCCAAGGACATGCACTGTAGAAAAAAGGAATACAAAACGTATAATAAAATATATTAAAAAAACTTAATCATTGACAAGAGCAGCAAATTTAATTTCGCATTTGAATGCACAATTTAAATGCATTCATTCATTGGGCTATTCAAACACTCACTGTTCGCTCACAAGTAATTAAAATTTAAATAACTATCACTTGTGCGTGCACTGGCCAACAAAAAGCAACCTTTTTCACCCACGCGCTAAATAACATAAATAAATATAAAAATATTACGCATACGCCACGTTCAACATTCGTTCCACATTCAACGAAGACGAAAGTGTATAATAATAAAAATAAAAGAGAGCACAACCAAAAAGTAAAGAAACGAAACAAAACGAAATAAAATGAAATGAGTGCGTCAACAGGCAACAGACAAACAAACGAAATTCATTAACACGATTCTAATTACACCAGACAATAGCAATGACAGCTAGCAAGGGGTTCTGGTGGGGTATTTGGTGGGAATGGGGAACTCCCTGTGTGTGTGTGCATTTTGCATACAAATTGCCAAATTAATGAGCAAAACACAACCGCAGTAAATAAAAGCAAATACATTTATAAATTCACACAGCTCACAAAACGTACAGAATGAAGGCAACTAGGCCAGTGTTTGACTAGCAGATTCCATGTAACTACACTCAGACAAAAAATTAACCTACATTTTAAAATTCGACATGAAAACTTAAAAGTTTGTCCTGTTCTTGGGAACAATTTCTAAATATAAGAAAATATTTTTTAATAATAAGCTTAAATGTTAAATGTTTGTGAAATCTTAAAACACTAATATTTATTGATAGCATAAGCATTAATATAATTTTATTCATCTGTTAGTCTCCTTTCTATTATGTTGCCTATTTCGACAAGCTTACAGAGCATTTCCAGCAATGGAAATTCTAATTTAAAGTGCATTCTTAATCCTTTTTTGGTCAAATAATGTTGCTGGATATTACACAGTCAAATTAATAACTTGTTGCCATTGTTAATTAGAGGCTAAGCAAATATTTACACTTCAATACTCTTCATGCACAGCTGGCAAAATCATGCATTGTTAAATTCTTGTTAATTATAAATAGCTCAACTTGAGTTTATTCGAAGAAATTCTTAAATTAGAATTTGCTTAGCTTAAATCTAATAACAGGAAGGTCGTTTCTTATATGCAGCAAGTCCTTATAGTTAAATAAATAATACAAATTAATAATGAATATATATATATATTATTGCCGTGCGTTTTGTTTTCGATCAACAAATTTAAATATTCAAATTTATTATTATTCTTTATTATGTTTATTATGTAAATCCAAAAAAAAATAGAACTTGCCTAGCTTAAAGCTATGCACAAGAATTGCTTTACTTAAGTCCAGCAAATTTATCTACCAGAGAAATAAATACATAAATAAGCCAGCTACTTTTGCAACAACACTTTATATTCCCCAAGAATTTAAAAGAGCTGCTTTTCAAATGGTGCTGCCACAAATTGTGAAGCCCACATATGCTTCAGTTAATAAGCCTGGCTTGGCCTGCTAGCTGCAAATATAGAGCAGCTGATTTTTATGAGCTTAGCTCTTCAGCTTTGTCCAACGATTTTTGGGGCACACCGCAGCTCTGGCAAGGTTAATCCTTGCCAGACCCGGACGTCACTCACCCATGTGCCCCACTCTACTCCCAAAACCCAGTCCAAAATTATTTCTGGCATTTTGAGATATCTGGCTAGCTGGTCTCTGCCTGAAAGAGGGTGGAGGGACATATGTGGTATGTATGTGAACTGGTTGCCCAGCACCGCAAAGAGGAAATCGAGACCGGGAGGGGGTGTTGAAGTATGGTAAAGAGAGGGAGTTGGAGGCAACACCTGGCTGCACATACATGTACGTACATGTGTTCATAGTTGTTGTTAATGTTGCTGCATGCAGCAGCAGCAGGCAAGTGAAACGCAAACAAAACCAACAAACAGACCAAAAATGTAGTTCACTTAAAATTTCTCATTTCCTTCCTCCTGGACTTTAGCCCGAGCCCACACAAACATACACTGTGAAAAAATCTTTCTGAAATAGCAACATACTCTGATTCTTTAAAATAATCTAAATATACGAAACAAAATTTCGTAAAATTGAGACAATAAAGTTTCAGTTAGAGAAATAAATTTCGAAAAAAAAAACAAATATAACACAAAGGATCTTACAGTTTAGTTGCCGTAAAGACTTTCAAAATCACGAAGTTTTCTACATTTTTGTCGATTTTTTCGGAGTGTACACACACTTCCAAACACAAACACAGAAACATTAACACACGTGTGGCTGGACAAGAAAGAAAGAGAGAGAGAGAGAGAGAGAGAGCAAGAGAAAGTGGAGGAGATGGAAATTTAGGACGAAAACTTTATGCATGTGGCAAAAAAGCTTAAGTTAACAACTTATGCCCGTTGGCCGAGCAGGCCAAAACTAAACGTTGGAGAAACCTAGAGAGAGAGAGAGAGAGAGAGAGTGTCAGATAGAGGGAGAGAGAAATAGAGAGAGAAGGGCGGCGTGAGGGAGAGAGAAAAAAGCCCTTTTCGGGCTCATTGTCGCTGAAACGCATTTAGGAAGGAAATTAGTAAGTAAATGTCATAATTTGCAAAAGGACTTTGTGCAGAGGATTATTAAGTCATTATATACACCCAACCACACACACACCTACGCACACACACACACAGTTATCAGAAGAAGTTGCGGCTGCTGAAGCTGAAACAGAAATTGAAGCTGAAGCTAATCAAAATGCAAATTTCAATTTGCCAACTGCTGAAAGCAAAAGACAAAGAACTGAAGAACAAATCAGCAAGAAAAGTAAAAGTAAAAGGTAAAGCCAACAATGCCAAATCGCAAAAGGCAGCCAACTAAAAATCTTTGACTTTCCACTTTTTACCTGCTCGCCAAAAAAAAAAAAAAAAAAAAAAAAACAAAAGAAACATATTCATGAAAAGGCATT